GCCTCCCAGGTGAGGTGTTGTCCAGGACCTGATGCTGAGAGGCCAGAGGCCGGCCCTGACATGTTTGTCCCCACTGCCCAGGCACCTGCAGCCCCCGTGCTGAAGGACCCACCACGGGGCAGAGTTGCCTCTCATTTATCAGATGAGGATGTGGGCAAGTCTTCCTCTCCATGGCCTTTCAGAATGCTAGCTCTCCACCCCGTTTGCCTGCCCCAGGTATAAATTTCAGCCCTGGACCTGGAGTCTAGTTCTGGCCCCCTAGTCCCTTCCTTTGGTGGAGACCCTCCCTGGAGTTGGGGCCCTCCTTTCCCAGAATAGAAGGTTACAAAACCACAGGAAAGCATGACAGGTCACCAACTGTCCCCTCCAGCCACAACTCCCCTCCCATTTAACTCACACCAGAGCCTGATTGGCCACCTCCCACCTCCTCCGGGGCCCCCAAGTCTCTCTTTCTCACCCCTTCCAGGAAGCTATCTCTGGTGTTAAGGGTTCCAAGGGTGGGAGGTATAGAACCTGCCACAAAGACACAAGTTCTAAGCCACCAGCTAAACCACCAATGCTTTGACACCCCCAGTGCCCGCCCTCCATACACGGCAGGAGGGAGCCCAGCCTTGCTGGGGAGGGCGGGCTTGGTTGTATGTGCAACTCAGGAAGAGTCAGCTGATGGGAACTTTGAGAAAACAGCCTGGCCTCTTCTGAGGTTTCACAAGGCACCTAGCAGATCCTGCTGCTTGCTGGCTTCTTCTGGAGCTCAGAGAACCCAGGAGTTTGGGCGCACTGTTCCTCCTCTCTCCAAGTCTGCAGCCTGGGTCTGAAACCTTTTTATTGCCTGGAGCCCAGAAACCCAGCACTCACCCCATGGAGCCCTGCCGGTCTCTGGCCCTGCTTGCTGGCTCGCTGGGCTTGATAGCCACTCTGGTTGCTCTGAGCACCGATTTTTGGTTCGTGGCCATGGGACCCACCTCCTCTGCTCACTCAGGCCTCTGGCCATCGGGACATTGGGAGTCAGTAGCAGGTAAGGGGGAGAGGGCTCTCATGTGGGAGGATGGCCGGTGGGGAATGGACACTCAGAAGTCTCATCTGCATCCAGCTTCCATCCACGTGACCCAGAGCTTCTGCATCCTGGCTGCTGTGTGGGGCCTGGTGTCGGTGGGCTTCCTGGTCCTGTCCTGTATCCCTTCCTTGTCTGCCCCAGGCCGCGGCCCTCTGGTCTCAACCATCACAGCCTTTGCTGCAGGTACTCTGGGAAGGGTTTGGGCTTCGAAGCCTGTGAGCTCCTCCAGAGGCCTGAGCCAACTCTCTCTGTTCCTTGCCCCCAGCTCTCTCCTTGGTGGTGGCCATGGCTGTGTACACAGGAGAGAGGTGGGCCCAGCCTCAACACCCCCAGATCCAGACCTTCTTTTCCTGGTCCTTCTACCTGGGTTGGGTCTCAGCCATCCTCTGGCTTTGTGCAGGTAACCACCCAGCCCTGGGGAGCTGGGGAGGCCCAGCTAGAAATAGTGAGGGTGCAAAGCAGGAGGAAGTGCTTAATTCTCTCTGGCCACCCCAGGTGCCCTGAGTCTAGGTGCTCACCTTGGTGCCCGGCAGCCCGGCTATGAAAGCTTGTGAGTGGAAGGCGAGAATACCAGGATGAGTCTGGGGCGCTGTTCTCTGAAGGCATCATCAGAAGCTGCAGGAACGAATGCCTGACTCTGCCTTTATCTCTCTCTCCCAGCCCTTCCCCCTCCATTTATTATGTCTTTATTCATTCAATAAAAATTTGCTGAGATCTGATATTTCAAGATTAATTCAGTCAAGATGGAAACCAGCCACACATTGGCTCCTTGGTGGGTGACAGTGGGTGTCCAGGGTAGGTGAGAGCTGGCCAGACCTGCCTGTAGGGTGCTTCTGCCCTATGTGGGCACAGGCTCAATATGTCCCAAGTGTGTCTCCTGCTTTCTTTCTCTAGTGCTTTCCTTTTCTTTCTTTCTTTGTACTGGGGATTGAACCCAGGGGCACTGTATCACTGAGCTCAGCCCTTTTTTCTTTTGAGATAGGGACTCACTAAGCTGCCCAGACTGGTCTGGAGCTTGCGGTCCTCCTGCCTCAGCCTCCCGAGTTGCTAGGATGATAGCTGTGCACCTCTGCACCTGGTTCTAACGCTCTTCTTTCTCCCTGTATCCCTTTCTCATTTCTTCTGTGTCCTTTCCCCT